AATCTGTGCAATAAGTCATTTGATTCTCTGATTAAATTTAATTGCTAACAAATATAAAATTCTCAATTTGTTTATTATCTTTTACATTACATTCTCAAATCATTTAATCTGTTAAAAATATTTCTATAGAAAATATATACTTTTATGGAGCCGATGTCTAAAACTATTTAATCTAAAACTATTGAATCAGGTGAAGTCTGGACTTTTCCAATCAAACCCAAAGCTACGGCCGGGCCTCCGGATCAACCTGCTTCAACAGAAACTTCTTTAATTCAAACCTAAAGTTTTCTTTTGGAGAAACAAACAAAACTGTATGCATTTAGAAGTGAAAACAAAGCTGACAACAAAAATATAAACCAGATTATCGTCATGATTATTATTTTGCTCTTGAGCTATTATTGTTTGTAATTTTGGCATCAACAGGTAAAGAATTAAAGTTTGAAAGACCTCTTGTCAGCTGGTCCAGCAGCGTGAAGCTGGGAGGACAGAACCATGCCGTATGGATGGACAGAATAATAATCCCCCACTAAACACATTACCAATTGTTTTCAGTACATTATTGACATAATCTGTGCATAGGCTCATGCTTCTGTACAAAAACATTTACAGATACGTCGTTTTTAGCCTCAGGGTCACAGTTCAACGTGAGTTCAAGTCCTTTAGCAAACACAGCAAAGAAATGATGCAGAAAGCAAAAGTAATGCTACAGACTGAACCTTTTTTTTGGTTCTGCAAACTGCTACAGTACAGTACTTCTAGGCATTTTAATAGGAAGACATAAAGATTCTGGTTCTGGACATCAGAACCGTGTTTTAATCTTCTACAGCAGCAGCCAAAGAAACAGAGTTTAGACCGAAAATATCTACTTTGTAGGTTCAAGTAAAGTTGGTGAGATTCTGATCAATTAAGTGTTTAGAATCTGAGCTTCTTGGTGAAAACTTTTCTCTTTTTTTTTTAAAATATATACAGAAATGTTTTCACATTTTCTTGTTTTAATCTTTAATACAGAATATTCCTGAGAAAAGCCACAGTTTCTGTTGGATTCGTGGCTCAAGCTATTTGTTTTTTTCCTGATCATTAAAATGACCTAAAAGTATCCTAAAATGTCAAAACAAAAAGAAGAATTGAGCATACCGCATAGCTTTTCATGCTGGATTTAGTTAGTCATGTATATGAAGTAAATGCAGCTTTTATGTTTTTCGTTATGATGGCCAGTTTTACAAAGCTTTGAAACTTGCAAACCTTGCATTTCTTTAGCTACATTACAGTATATTGAGCCACAGTCTAAGGTGWCTACAAACTACAACAAACTACTGAATGTTTACCTAGACCTGACCCAATCTGTACTTCATCCAGTGCTCTGAGATTGTCAGACTTTTTTTCTAGAGACATGTCGTTCACAACACAAACACTAAGGTTTAAAGGAGTTCAGATTTCAGCGTCATCTTTTTTTTTTTTTGATGAATCGAAACGGTCAAAACCAAAACAAGGAAACACCATCAGGGATAGTAGTTTTGCAAAAATACTAATRCTTTCTTATAAACATGTCTTTAGCCCTTATAAGAAAGTGAGAAACTACTCCTGGGTTTTAAATTTAATTTGATGCAAAATGAAAAACATCTGATTCGTTTTGAAGTCTTTCTTGCATTTTCTCATCTGACTACTATAACATGTTGCAACTCYTCTTTTTACGTTTACATTTCATACACGGTCAGTTTTTTATTTTTTATTTTGTCCTGTTATTTGGGGAGGAAAATGTCTTGCAGAAGTCATGCAGAATATTCATGCTGGTAAACAATGCCTTGAAAAGTTATTGCCGTTTCCGTTCCAACAGTTTTGAAAAAAAAAAGAAAAAAAAAAAGAAAAAGTTTTTCTAATCCTGCTGAATACCAGCTTTCTTGAACAGGTTTCCTCAGATGTGAATAATCTGCAGAATCTTCTCCCATTCTCTCCTCGTTTTTGCTGTTTCCTGCGTGAAATGTTATTTTTTTTTATAACAACAGTAAGTAAAAGGGATAACTTAGCTGCTTAGTGAGAATATTATCATTTTCCCCATTACTTCTTTTGTAATTCATGTTTGATTGTCTTTTGGGGGTTTAATTGGTTTAAATCATGCCGAGCATAAGAATATTGGATTTCTAACACTGACATGAATGGATGTAGCAGGATGTCCAAAAAGGGGTCAGCAGAAAACCCCTTTGTTCTTGATGTCTTTTTTTTTGTCAGTTTTGTTTTATGATATGTCCATCCAGATGTCTTTGGTTAAATTCAGTGGTTCAGTAAAAGGGACTTGGTGACATTTGTTTTCTTTTTAGAAATTAGCTGAAYGTGAAGTCACATGATTTTTTTTCTTCTCCTGTAAAAACAACATTTTTAGATGAATTAGTCCTGTGGAGTATGGCTTGCTGTTTCTGATATGTATGGAAGGCTTCAGGCCTTCAGTTCAGCCCTGGAGCTCAGCAGAAACACTAACTGGTTCTTTGGTGGAGCCCGTCCACATTACCACCTTTTACAGTTAATGAAACAATAAAAAAAAAAACAGTGGGATCCAACTGGAAGAAATGGAGATCTGTGAAATCAAACCACTTCACGTCACATGGTTTTCATCTGTCAGAGTCTAAGGCTGCTCRTCCAGGGATGTGCATGCTGTTTGCTCAAAATATTACTTAAAAAGCTTTCAAAACATTTGATCTTCCGTCTTCTTCTTTCTGTCGCATGAAATGATGGAAATATTCAGGATGAGACGAACAGCCACACCTCGTGTTCTTCTCTGTCTTTTTCCATTTCTACACTGAAAACATTTGAGGGAAGCTGCTTAGAAGATTTTGTTGTTTTCTTCTTTATCTTGTGGTGAAAGTGATGGTGGAGTTAGAAGCTCAGCACTGCAACAGAATAAATAAAAATAACTGTTAGTGGTGAAACTGCCTCCCCCAACAGGGTCACGACTCGTAATCTCTCAGACACCAGACCACGACATTCAGTCCTCATCAGGGATGATATGCAATCTTTTTTAATCTCTACCCAGGAGGTTTATTGTTTGTTTGTTTTATTCAATCAGATTTGACCTGGAATAAAAAAAATGTCCTGGTCTGGTGCAGATCCAAGTGACAGCAGTGAAATGATGAAGGTGGGTAAAGTAATGTTTTTGTTCATTCATCACATCTAAAAGTTCTGAAGTCGACAGCACCAATTATTACTGGCTTAAATAATATCCTAATTTGTTTCTTTAAGTTCACTAAATATTTTTCACCTAAAACTTATACACCTTTTGGTTTATTGGTGGTTTTGTTATAAAGCAGAATATTGGACAGTTTTTTCCATTTGAGCCTTGGTTCCTTCTGCTTCTTTTCTCTTTTCCTTTTTCTTTAGCTTTCAACATTTTTTATTTTAGAAATAACTAAATTTCGATAAAATGTATAGAAGGATGTTTTATAGTTGATCAGGTAAATGTGTTTCTCTTACCCAATTACTCTTACAATATCTTTGTTATCGTAACGTTATAAACTGATTAAAATCTGTGTGATCGTAATTTTTCAGATGATTTGACTTTCTTTTTTCTATATGGTCTTCAAAATGCGTTGTTAAATTATTTGATAATGGTAGAATTACTGAAAGGACTTTAGTTAACCTTTTTRTAAATATTGATTTTAAAAAACTACATACGGAGCCTACAAAAGTTTTCAACTTCTTATATGTTTTAAGCATTTGTCGCTGTTTTAATCAATCCTGGTCAATATAACTTGGCCTTTACAAAAGATAAAATAAAATAAAACAAAGACCCCTTTACTGTCATAATGAAAGCAAATTGCGACACATTAGTAGTAAGTAGTACAAAGCCAGTTAAATAAAAAAATGTAAAGTAAGTAATTCCATAAATATTCCTCCTTTAAAGAAAAGACTAATAAAAAGTGAAAATCGKGATGAGTAAAAAAGTATTTCCAGGGCTCTAAACATCTCCAAGAGTTCTGTTAAATCCATCATCAAGGAATGTCAGGAACATGGAACATGTGTAAGAACAGGGAAATGTTACAAACTGAGTGACCATGAAGAAGGAGAAYAGTGAGAGAGACCAYCGAGACACCTGAGACCACTCTAAAGGAGGTTCTGGAGGTGGGTTGGGACAAACTGTGWACATACACTGTTTCCCAATTTCTTCACCAGTCTGAGCTTTGTTAAAGTGTGGCCAAGAGACTATCTGCTGAAGAAATCACAGATTAAATCTGAAATAGAGTTTCTAATTGATCGACAAATTCTAGTTTGGGCCTTGAATAAAGTCCCTGACAAACGTTAGAGTTTCACTTCAAATCAAGAATTCTTCAGCAGCTGCCACCATCAGCTCCATCAGGATCAGTGTTGTTGGTTAGTCTTAGCTTCTGTTATTTCCTGAATCTTTCTAGAGTTTTATTATTCTCATGTGTTTCTCGTTCATCTGCTCCAGCTAATCCCTCACCGGTTCCCGGTTGTGTTTCTTAGTTTAGGTCACTCTGTCCTCCCAAGTTGGTGCTTCTTCATTTTTCTTTTTGGACATTTTGGTGCTGTCCTTGGAAGGGGGTACCATCGGGCTCTGTGTTTTTTTGTTAGTTGTATCTCCTATGTTATTTYCTGAATGTTTTTTCATCTGCTCCAGCTCTTCCCTCACCTGTTCCTGTTTGTCTCTTGGTCAGCTGTTTGTCATTTAGCTCATTAGTATCCTTGTATATTCTGGTACGTTAGTGTTGTACATTTCCTAATGTCTTCCTAGTTCTTCCATGTCTCCTTCTGTGTTCTCCAGAGTTCTCTAAGTAGAGGTTTTGGCAGACTCGTCAGCATTTTTGTCCTCTGTGGCCGAGGCAGGGGACATAGAAATGCTCTTCGTCCRTCCGRYGGTGACAGGGGACATCAGCGACRGTTGGCGTCGAGKTCTATCTTGTCTGTTTATAAATCTGTTTATTTTGATTCCTACATGTCCTGCCTTGGTTTCACAATCTTAGCTCAATCGTGACAGAATGCTGACTTCCAGCAGCATGATTKCTTTTTTCTAGTTTTTTGCTTGCCAGGCTGAGAAAACAGCTTAAGTGAAGGAGGAAACTGAGGTGGAGATCCTTCTGTTACCTCACCTGGAGAAGGAAGAGGTAAGGAGGGAGATTTTTTGGGGGGAACTTTGGTCATTAAGCCTCTGAATCAGGCTTGGTCAGACAATGGTTTGAATTCTGCTGTTCTCCGACTTCTCACCTCTCACTGTTGCTCCTCAGCAACTGTTTGTCATCTCATTGCTCTCCTGGTCTCCAATGCTTCCCGATGCCCCAGCCCCCTTCAAATCTGCTCCGACAACCATCCATGTCTCACAGTTCAGCACCATCACCTTCATACCATAGTCTATCTCAAAAGCACTTATGCCCCCTGCAGCTTCCCCCACTCCAACCCAGCATTCCTCGGAGGGTAAATGGATTATCATGCAGATCTGGGGGAACATGATTGCCCTGCAAGGTTCTCTGGTCCCTAAGAGTAAGGTCTTCATCTGTGACCAAGTTGAGGGCCTACTGTTGTCATCTCCAAAGGCTCTCCTAGTGCAGGACTTCAGACAACTGAGGGGTGAGGTAGTCAAAAGAAACATTTTCTTTGTTATCGCTGCTCATTCTGTCTTCAAAGACTGCTGCTCCTCCAGTGTTCCCCAAGCYTATTGCTGTTCTTCCTGAGTTTCCYGAACAGCCAGCAGCTGAATCTKTGCTCTGCATCTGCTTCCAGCWGCTGAACAGCCAGCAGCCATTTGTTGTTTACCCTGAACAGTCAGCAGTTGTTCCTGTCCCCTCAATGCCTGCAACMGCTTCTCCAGGGTTACCCTCCACCGAGTCTTGACGGACTCTGCCTACCAAGTCTCTACGGAGTCCATGATACCCCTCCTCTTTGTGTCTCTGAGGGGGTCCAGGAGGACGCCCTCACTGCTGTGCCCTCTGGGATGTCCACCTGAACCTTTTTGCATTTCTAAGTTTAGGTCACTCTGTCCTCTCAAGTTGGTGTTTCTTTGTTTTACTTTTTGGGCATTTGGTGCTGTCCTTGGAAGGGGTACTATCAGGCTCTGTGTTTTTGGTTAGTTGTATCTCGAATGTTTCTAGAGTTTTATTATTCTCATGTGTTTCTTTTGTCTGTTCCAGCTCCTCCCTTGTCTSTTCCTGATTGTCTCTTGATCAGCTGTTTGTCATTTAGCTTATTAGTGTCCCTGTATATTCTATTGTCTCCATTTGTCCAGTAGGTTAGCATTGTGCTGTATATTTCCTAATGTTTTTATGGTTGTTTTGCGTCTCCATCCATGTTAAGTTTTGTAAGTAGAGTTATTTTGGCTGCCATGTCAGCCTTTTCTGTTTAATAAATCAGGTTTTTTTTATTCCTACATATCCTGCCTGCATCTTGGGTTTCACAAACTTACCTCAACAGTGACACATGGGGTATTTATCATTAAACTATTCGGTCATTTCATTTAACTAAAGTGAAAATTCTAGAATCAAACACAAATGTTTTACTTAAATTCTCATTCATTTATAAAAACAAAGCCCCTTGATGTAAAATTAAAAGCTTTAGGTCAAGCAAAAGTTGTCCTAATTTTTAAGTTTCAGTAGCAAATTTAATGAGGTGAAATAAAATGTTTAAACAGATTTTTTTTGTTTGAACTTAGAGATTACTCARCAATCTAAGGGTTTTAATCAGCTGGTGCAGCCTCGACTGATAACATGATTGCAGATTATTTTATCAATTGCAAGAAGTAAACTAATTAAAAGTACAAAGAGACACCAGTGTGGAGATTTTAAAGGAATTMTGATTAAAAAGAACAATTATTTTAACCACCGTCTCATTTTCTTTCTGTTGAAAGATTGGCATTTCAGATGTGGGCCTTTTTGCCAAAAGCATCATCATCAGAGATGTTTTTAATTAGTTAAAACTACTCCCTACTGAATTTTTAAGCAATAAATGAATAAATAAATAAACAAACAAATAAATAAATAAATAAATAAATAAATAAATAAATAAATAAAAGACATCAGAGGTTTATAGGTAATCATCAATTATTACTAATGCAGTATATATTGTAGATAATATATATATATGTATACAAAATAAAACATTTCTATTTATTTCTGTCTAAATAATGAAATAAAGCATAAAACACATTTTAATGATAAGCTACATAAGGGCAGGAACAGATAAAATTCTGAAGATGCTGCAGGCAAAAAGGCCAAATATAAGTTCTGTAGTGTTAGAAATTATTAGAAGACAAATAGATTTTACTTTAGCTGCAAAGCTACCAACAACAAACTTAAAAAGAAGACTGCAAATAATAGTWAATTGACTGTTCCCAATCAGTACTTTCCAGTGGGGTTCAGGATGAAACACTTCTTTGTTCTGATGGAACAGGTCAGTAAATAAAACAAAGAAATTTACCACCACAGTAAAATGAAAAAGACATCATCACAAAGCTGGCTTAGCAGAGATACCATGCATTACAAACACACACGCTTTTCTCTGTCTGTGTAACTCACACATCCAATCATGGATAAGGCCACTCAGTTTGCTGAGATAACAAATTTTAAAGTTAAAGGTCAAATCAAAATTGAAGATTATATAAAATGGAAAAATGACCAGGGTTCAGCTTTAGAAATCCTGATTTGCAACCAAGCAGGACTAAGTTAAAAATCGACCAAAAACATTTCCGCTAAAATGTCTAGAAAATGCCATTGGGTAAGCACAAATTTTAAGTTTTGTTTGTTTTGATTTGATTAGGGTTTTTGAACTGTCAGACAAACAGAGTTAGCCACATCCCTGAGGTTTCTTCTATTTTTTTAAATTCAGGTGCAGCCTAGATGACAAAAACTGCACTTCACCTGCACCTGCARAAGATGGAATAAGTTGTTCCATCTGGATTTATAAAGACCGTTAAATCAAACGTGGAACAGACAGAGACTACGGTAGCATAAAAAAAAAACAACAAAATCAAACAGGACAACAAAAAAAGTAAAAAGAAAAGGAAACGTGACACTAATACAAAACAACAAACACAAGGTGAGGAAGACAAAAGGACACAGAACAGTGAAGTTGACTTTCTTACATGAAGAAGGGATTTTTCCTTCTTTTTTATCTGTCCTCCTCCATCACATCACCACACCTCCTCACTGCGATGCTGCTCAGCTGACAGACACTCAGAAAACATCATGCATCCCTTCTTCCAATCCAGTACAGTTTACTCAGGTCTTTACTTTTACAGTTTCTTTCTGTCTGCCTCCTCACTGCAGTCCAGCTTTACTTTTCTCTTGTGCAAACACACTCCAGTTTGCCTCTTTATTTTTGTTTGTTTTGTTTGAAAAGTTTCCAGATGAGATGYTGACTCACATAAAACAAAATCTCATTGTTAGAAAATGGCAGAAACTCAAGGGGGCGACACAAAGAGAAGTCAAGATACACGTTTGAACAACAAATATAAAGCAGCAGTTTTAAAGGAAGAAATACAGCAGATGGGAAAGACAGAAGAGWTCACATTTGTCTGTCCTCCAGTCTTTTTCTGTCCAAACTGGGACTGGGGGAACTTGGTAAGACAGGAGCAGAGATTTAGAGCAAGATACCTGAGTCATGAGTAAAACTGGAAAAGAAGAAGCCAAAAAGTGGCAGAAACTGAAGAACAATTATTATAATAAAATGAATATTAATTTGAAAAACAACAACTTTTCAAGAGGAAAAGTTCTTACAAAGTTCACAGCAACTGAGATACTGCATTTCCATCTTCTGTACTTCTCAACATCGTGTACATTAACTTACCAAAGGCATCATATAACTATTTTTATCCTTTCATCCTAAACCCAAACCACATCTGGAAAATGAACTCCACCTTCAATAGTTAGACATGATTACAGGTTGTCAGACAATAAACGTTTACTAGAATCAAATAATGTATCCAAAGTAACACTGAAAACAAATCAGTCAAAAAATGAATAAATGAACAGAATGTGGATGGAGTAAGAAAGGCCAGCTGCCAGGGGCAACCTGATCTGAGGCTGCACTGAACCAACTGAGTGCTTGTCCACAGAGACATTCATCTGTTGAACTCTGAGTGAAATACAGAGACACAGATGGGACAGAGACAGGACAGATGATGGGACAGAGACAGGACAGATGATGGGACANTACAGTTGCTATCTGAAAATAATAATCACAGTTTAATAATAATCTAATACATACATGCAAATTAGTGAGAAGTATTTATCAAAATAGTGCCTAGGATGACACRGATCTCAGTAAAACTGCTGTTTATCTGTATAATTTGAAGGTAAACAAGTCTTTTGACTCAGTAGGCCCGCTCAAAATAAAAACAAAAACAAAGAGAAAATACAGGTCCTGAGAGAATACTGGTTGTGAAGCTGATCTCCAGTCCAGAGAAAGAACTCCGGTGCTGGTACAGTACCCTGGTCCTAAGGCAGAATGCTGTTCGTGAGACAGAACCTTCATCTTGAAACAACACTGGTTCTGAGACAGATTCCTTGTTCCGAGAAAGAAAACTGGTCTTGAGACAGCACTGTGATCCCAAGATTGAAAACCAGGTCCTCAGACAAATCCTTGTTTGAAAAAGGAAATCTGGTCTTGAGTTAGAAATCTGGTCCTAAGACAGCACTTTGGTCCTCATACAGATTTCTGCACAATGGTATTTATTTCTTCTTTGTGATTAATGTGGTTTGTGTTTGAGGATGTTAGTGTTAAGGCCAATGTTCTCACTTTCCTGACGTGTTTGTTTTGCAGAACTCCCTCACTGGTTAGTTATTGAGCTCTAGACAAATACTTGGTTCTGAGAAAACTCTGGAGCTGTCCTTAAACAAGACGACACCTGTTCACWCACATAACTGTAGATTGCATCATTTTGAGGATGGGGTCTATGTTGTCTGGGGCATTAGCTCCTGGTAGGTTCTCCCATGACAAACACCTCCTTACAGCAAGGTCTGTGGGGGGAGCTCTCTGGCAAATGCCTGATGGTCGAGCCTTGGCTCCTGGGGCTCGACTTGGCCCGAAAGAATTATGGAAAGCTGTGGACCCACATGTGGACCCACCAGCTGYGGGGAGGATTGTCAAGGTTGAGTGCAATGTACTGTATGCTGGGCAGCAAGKGAGGGATGGTCCCTGACTAGCTCTRGGAACATGGAACATCACTTCACTTGTGGGTAAGGAGYCTGAGCTTGCGTGTGAGGTTGRGYGTYACCAACTAGAAATAGTTGGGCTCACTTTGATGCACARYTTGGGCTCTGGACCCCAAMTCCTGTAGATATGCTGGATGCTCTCATACTCTGGAGTTGCCAAGGCAGACAGACGTTGAACAGTCATGGGAATACTCACAATCCCCTGGGTGAATGCCTTGATGTTGGAGTTTTCCCCTGTGAATGAGAGGGTTGCCTCTCTGCAGCTTCAGGCTACAGGAGGGAAGGTTTCYGACTATTGTGCGTGCTTATRCATCAAACATCAGTTCAGATTACCTAAACTTTTTGGACTCTGGATGGTGTCCTGCAAGGGGTGCTRTCTGGGGATTCCTTGTTCTACTGRATGACTTCAGTGCMTWTGTGGGCAKTGATASAGTTATCTGGAAGGGGATGATTAGTAGGAACGGCCTCCCTAAAGTTATAGAACCTCTGTGCTAGGCATGGGTTGTCCATAACAAACACCAYRTTTGAGCATAGGGTGATCCATAACTGTTCTTAGAACCAGACTACTTTTGGCCAAAGGGCTAATATCAATTTTGTGATTGTCATCTGATCTGTGATCTGTGGCCCTATGTATTGGACACTCAAGTGAAGAGAGGGGCAGAGCTGTCAACTGATCACCACCTGCTGGTGAGGTGGAGCCAATGGTGGGAGAAGCTGCTGAACAGACCTGGTAAAACCAAATGYATAGTGAGGGTCAACTGGAAACGTCTGGTGGAGTCCCATTTCTGTATGATCATCATTTYTCATCTCTGGGAGAGTTTTTAATGTGTGGGAGAGGTTGGGGACATGGAATTTGAATAAGACATGTTCAGGGCCTCCTTTGCAAATGTGGTTTCCAAGAGCTGTGACCTGAGGGTTGTTGGTAAGTGTCGCTGCGGCAAGCAMGTGACCAATGGAGGCTGTCGAGCTGGGGCCTTCAGGACTTAGCTTTCCCAGAGGATATTTGAAGCAGCTGATGGGTAAAAGGTGGCCATAATGGCTGCACCTTTGGAGGTTGCAGAAGCAAAAAACTAAAGCATGGGAGGAATTCGGGAAGGCCATGCAGGATTTTCGGTTGGCCTAGAGAGTTAAGCAATCTGTTTGGTGATTAAGAAAATAAAAGCATTCATTGTCTCAGGCTGTACTTGGTTTGCTGCTTGTCTGTAGGATTTGAAGGCAAACAAGTCTTTTTACCCTGTTTTAGGCAMGCTCAAAACAAAAACAAAGAGGAAACACAGGTCCTGAGACTAAATATTGGTTGTGAGGCTGATCACCAGTCCTGAGAAGGAACACTGGTGCTGGTACAGAACCCTSGTCCCATGACAGAATGYTGTTCATGAGATAGAACATTTGTCCTGAGACAAATTCCCAGTTCCAAAGTAAAGCACTGGTCCTCAGACATAACACTGATTCTGACACAAATTTCTTGCCCAGAGAAAAACAAAACACAACAAAAAGCACTGGTTCTGAGACAGGTCCTTTTTGCAGAGAAAGAAAACTGGTCTTGAGACASYACTGTGGTCCTAAGATCAAAAACCGGTCCTAAGACAAATCCATGTTTGAAAAAAGAAATCTGGTCTTGAAGGAGGTCTTGAGTTAGTAATCTTATCCTGCACCTTGGTCCTGATGCAGTTTCCTGCACACTGCTTAGGGTGATCCATAAGACTTATTGTTGATCAATGTAAGGAACACTTCAAAGATCTCCTTAATCCACGCTTCATGTCGACCTTTAAGGATGGAGAGTCTGAAAACTTGGGGGAAGACGAGGCCGTTACCATGGTAGAGATCACAGAGGTGGTCAAAAAGMTTCTCAGTGGCAGGGGCGGATGAGATTCACCCTGAGATGCTGAAGGCTCTGAATGTTGTGGGGCTGTCATAGTTGACATGTCTCTTCAACATCGCACGGAGGACTAGGACAACTCCTGTGGAGYGGCAGATCAGTGAGGTGATTTTTATTTTTAGAAAAGGGAACCAGAGAGTGTTTTCTAACTATCATGGGTTCACAYKTCTCACCCTCCCYAGGAAAGTTATCTCCAKGGTGTTGGAAGGGAGGATMTRATCGATTGTCAAGCAGCAGTGTGGCTTCTGTCCTGGTTGTGGAACAGTGGACCAGAYCAGATTCAGATAACTTTATTAATCCCCAAGGGCAATTAAGTTCCGCAGTTTCCAGGCCACATAGACAGATGCTTATACATACATAAAAAAAACTTCAACCATGTGAAGTTGCTAGGGGGGTYGTGGGAGTTTGCCTCTTCAGTCTACATATGCTTTCTGGACCTGAAGAAAGTTTATGACTGTGTTCCTCAAGGCAGTTTGTGGGGTGGGGGTCTATGGGAGTATGGARTGTCAGAGTTGCTACTAATGGTGATCCAGTCCCTGTAGAACCAAAGCAGGAGCTGTGTTCACATTTTTGTAGTGTTTATGGACGGGATCTTAAKGTGCAGTCATGGGGAGGAGGGTGTCTGGTTCGGGAACCACAGGGTCTCACCTCTGCTATATGCAGATGGTGTGGTTCTGGTGGCATCTTCGGGCCAAGACTTTCTGTGTGTACTGGGGCAGTTTGCAGCCRAGTGTGAAGCAGCTGGGATGAAAGTCGGTTCCTCTRAGTCTGAGACCATGGTYCTCAACCGCATGAGGGTGGAAAGYCCCCTCTTTGCCTCAAGTGGAGGAGTTTAAGTATCTGTGTTACTGGGGCCTCGTCCTCAGTAACAAAGGYGTTGCATCGGTCAGTTGTAGTGAAGAAAAAGCTGAGTCAATTGCCAAAGCTCTTGATTTACTTGTGTTTGCATTCCAGCCCTCACCTATGGGCATGAGGCATGAATCTTGAATGAGATCCTGAACAAAAGTGGCCAAAATGAACTTCTTTCGTAGGGTGGCCAGGCTCAGCCTTAGAGATAGGGTGAGGAGTTCYGACCTCCAGGAGGAACTCAAGAGAAGAGCCGCTGCTATTCCATACTAAAAGGTGTCAGTTGAGGTGGCTCGTGTATCTGATTACGATGCCTCCTGGACGCCTCCCTTTAGAGATGTTCTGGGCACGAGACCCCAGGGAAGACCTAGGACTTGCTGGAGGGATTATGTATCCTCTCTGGCCTGGGAATGCCCTGGGGTGCCCAAGGGCAGCTGAAAACTGTTGCTGGAAAGAGGAATGTCTGTTTCTCTCCAAGRCCTGTTATCTCTGCAACCTGAYTACAAATAAGTGGTAGAAGATGAAGATCACGTTGTCTAGATTCACAACTATTTTTCTCAGTGAGTTTAAAACATCCTATAGAGCAGCAGACCTTGAGGGCCACTATCCTTTATGTTTTAGTTGTTTCCTGTACTTCACCAGGTTTTGAGGTTCTACAGAAGCCTGATATTCTCTGACTCATTCAAATAGGTGTTCTGAGGCAGGGAAACAGCTAAAACACGAAAGATGCTCAACCTCAAGGACCAGGATTGAGGACCACTGCTCTAGAACAATGTAATGACAATTATCTTATTTAAAGAACATGGAAAGAGAAAATACACAASCTTTCAGTTGTAGAATTATCTTTCAGGACATTATCATCAGTGTGATCTACCCTAGAAAAACTTTATTTTAAATACTGTATATTTTGCTACTCTGCAGTATTCAAATGTGTGTCGTTAACAAAATGCCAGGATGGAAAGACATCAGCAGTGACCTTAGAGTAGCAGCCACTGACGCCTATCAATTTGGGAAGGGTCAAAGGTCATTTCCAGATTATCTGGAATCTATCATTCTATAAGGAGAACTGTTGTAGACAAGTGGAAAACATTTCAGACAGCTGCCAGTCTTCCCAGGAGTGAACATCCCAGCAGATTCACCCCAAAGGACAGACTGTGCAGTACTCAAAAACATAAGCCCTAACTTTAAATCTACAGGTGTCAGTTAGGATGAACATCAAAGGCCATGACTGGACAAGTAGAAAAAAATTGAACAAGTTTGGCTTCTT